AAATGGTGAGTCCTCGAATGGAATTATTTTGACAATGATTTATTCCTAATAGATCTAGATAACAGTATACATTCTCAGATTTTATTGAATAACAGTTGGCCAGTGTTTGTTTTGCGTAACTGCTAAAGTATGTGTATGCTAATATGCTTATCAACCAGGGAACCTACGCCCTTAAATCATAAATGACAGTAATGAGGATTAATGCCCCACAAAAGGGCACTAATATAGCACATCGACACGGTTTTGATCCTGGGGCCTCACAGTTACGAGGCCATTGCTTTGCCACTGAACCATGAATGTACGCAGCGGGGGCTAGGGTAGGGGGTAGTTCCCACAAATAGAAACAAACAAAGAAAATGCAATATGTTATCAATAATTCATTGCATTTTACCCCGGTCCCCAACATTAAAAAAATCCTCTGTACGGCCATGCATAATGGCTCAAGGCATGGGCACAATGAAGATTTTTTTTTCTGTTGGGGACCGGGGGGGAATCAATTTACTTTGAATTGCGATATTCCACGATTCCACATGACGAATAGAAGATTCCACATGAAGAATAGAAAATTCCACGCCACCAAGAACCAAGGAATACATGCCCCCCCCAATCAAGTACTTTAAAAGTGCCCCTTTTTGCTGAGGGAAAGTGCCCTTTTTTATTTACGCAAATGTCCATTTTTACTGCTAAATGCCCTTTCTCATTTCAAATAAAGTATCCCCTTTTCGCCTCTGATAAGTGCCCCTTTTACTTTGAAAAGTGCCCCTTTTTAAAATTGCCCTCTTCCCTTATTAAAGGTGCCCCTTTCAAATTTTATAAGTACCCCCTTTTTTAAGTATATAGGTTTTCTTTGTCAATTTTTTTTAAGTGTCCATTCTCCCTTCATATTTGCAACATTCTACCTTAATTATCCTTTGTCGCTTATTATGTCATTTTACAGTCATCTTAAGAGTCATATCTTGATTCAAGAAGAATCGGTGTAGTAACAGGTACTCAATATTTCTATCATCATAGTAACAGGTTCCCTATTTCTAAAAAGATGGGGCATGGGGGCATAATGCCCATAATTTTATAAGAACGAACTATGCCCCTGTTATTGAATCTAATAGTGCTCGTTTTCACCGCTATCAAATGCCCCTGCATTACCATGAAAATATGTTTTTGTCACCCCTATACCCCATTCACAGTGGTTTTGAAATTTGTAGCGGCGTTGTAGCGGAGCGGCGACACCGCCATAACACAGCTACAAATGCATTCACAGTCGAAAAGTTATCCCGCTGCAGCAGCGGGATAAATATCATGTACCCATTCACGCTGCAGCGGGTGATTTTTATTACCTCCGTAACAAACACGTGTATGCATGGCTCATGACCCGCGAGTGACCCCGATATGACCGGAAATACTTCAGCGCGTAAACATGTCAAGTTGCTTTTTGTATCCTCGATCATATTACTTTTTAAAATACTAGCATTTTTATTGCTTCCAGTCAGAATATTTTAATTTTTTGAAGTGTGAAATATTTTTATTTGGATAATTATAATATCTACATAATAATAAAATCAATTTGAATCCACTGGTTACTTTATTTCTATTTCACTTTATGTTCCCCATTGCTGGAGAAAAGAGGTCAGTGATAGGTAAGTAAACAAATCACACGTGTTTGTCGCGGTGTTATAGCGGAGAGCCTTCACACTGAGTAAACACCGCGACAGCAGCGGGACTGTCCCGCTGGCGAATTTTTTTTCCGTACTCGAGAGGGCAAATACCCCATGTGCGCATGCGCGTGGACTTGTGATTTCTCTGCTACTTCCCATACGAAATGTACATGTATTCGCATGTACTGTGCACGATTCGCGTTCTACGAGTAAACGATGGCATAGTAGTCTTCAAACACAGACTCTGATTTGCCAGTTTGACAAAACAATTACGCATATATCGTGCGTAGCAATAGTACTAGTATTCAAGTCTGAGTAGTTGTATGATTCAGACATTTTAGTGCTTACAGAAATGCATCCCAAATTGAATAGCATGGTATAGTAGTCTGCAAGCACAGACGCTAATCGGACAGTTTGACAACATAGTGTCTTGAGTAGTGCTTTATATTCAAATATGTGTAGTTTTATGATTCAGACCCTACTGGTGCGTGTATTGGAAAGGCATCTCAACTTGCAGAGTGGCATAGTAGTCTGCAAGCACAGACGCTAATCTGACAGTTTGACAAAATAGTGTTATTCAAGTCTGAGTAGTTTTATGATTCAGACCCTACTGGTGCGTGTATTGGAAATGCACCTCAACTTATAGAGTGGCATAGTAGTATGCAAGCACAGACTCTCCTTTGACAGTTTGACAGAATAATATAGGCCTATTGTGTATTGAGTAGTACTACTAGTATGTTGTCAAACTGTCAGATTAGCGTCTGTGCTTGCAGACTACTATACCATTCTATACAAGTTGGCGACTTGAATAAAGTACTTCTCAGCACACTACTAGTATGTTGTCAAACTGTCAGATTAGCGTCTGTGCTTGCAGACTACTATACCATTCTATACAAGTTGCAATGTATTTCCATATGCACTACTGGGTCTGAATCATACAACTACACAGACTTGAATAAGAACATCGCGACACATACGCATATTGATTTGTCAAACTGGCAAATCAGAGTCTGTGTTTGAAGACTACTATGCCATCGTTTACTCGTAGAACGCGAATCGTGCACAGTACATGCGAATACATGTACATTTCGTATGGGAAGTAGCAGAGAAATCATAAGTCCACGCGCATGCGCACATGGGATTTTTGCTCTCTCGAGTACGGAAAAAAAATTCGCGTCCCGCTGCTGTAGCTAGGCGAACCTAGCGATAGTTTGTCGCGGCGTTATCGCGAGGCGGTGTTATCCCGCGATAGTTTATAACGGGTCCAAGCCTTCACACTGAAGACAACACCGCGACAGCAGCGGGACCGTCCCGCTGCTGTCGCGGTGTTTGAGGCCACTGTGAATGGGGTACTAGTCTACCCCCTAACAGAGTATATCTCAAATTTCTTGATATTTTTAATAGGCCATTTTATAATGTAACCAAATTTATTCCTACGCCTTTGTGAAGCGCCTCGATACAAATTTACTCTATCTCAATAGTCAGAATTCAAATTGGATATATAAGTTTTTGCTAAGTAGGACCAGGCAAACATTATGGCTTGCCCTACGTTACAACACGTAATACAATATGCAATTCGCGTTCCGACTATTGAAATACAATTATTCGTAATAGGTGAATGAAATGATTCGTATCGAAGCACTGAAGTATACATTTGGTTACATTACGAAAATGGCCTATGTAGAGGGACTAAGTTCTTGAAGATGAATGTATATCTACGAGATTTATCTGCAGTGAAGTAGGGTTTATTGTCCTGAAATGGCAACATGTCACATGTAGCATTTGTATTCTTATGTACATGTACGTCAGTCTTCAGTCATGTACTGTGCTGCATTTATCAGTATTAATTAATAGACATTTTGAATATCGAACTTCAAGCCTTTCATCATCATCTAATATCAAGCATTTTCCATTTCTTTTCTGTTTTGACATGTAAAGGACAAAGATCTCATACGAGGTGTGGTCCTTGTTTTCTTGACATGTGTTTCCTTCGGTACGTATGATTTTGATCAACGATGATATATTAATCTTATTATTATCATTATTATTATTATCATCATTATCATCATCATCATTATCATCATCGTTATCATCATCATTATCATCATAATTATTATAATTATTATAATTATTATTATCATTACATTGATATTGGCATTAGGAGTCTTCAACAGTAATACAATGAAACTGTAGACACTGGGTTCTAATCGGTTAATACCACGACAGAATCTTAAAGTAGATATTTATTTATTTTAAAAACTAACTTTATTTTCATTATTGCAAAGTTGAAACTCTGATTCGACAAGGTTATCAAAATTCAATGCTTGGAAACAGTCGAAGTAATGATTATTATATATTACAAAACGCTTAAATACAACCCCGGCATAGCACTTGAAGAGCTCTCAGAACGCTGCTGAGATGTGTGAGATCACAGTATGGACATGATTTGCACAAGCAGACGATGTCCCATGACATCTCACACATTTTCAGTGCCTGTGTTTTCATCTTCTCTTGAGTTCTTTCTCTTACTTCACTACCGTCAGGCTAAATGTATAATCTATTGCCTCACTCTAAACCCCGCCCATGGTTTTATTTTGATGACAAATGCAGCGATACAAAAATAAAGGAATCTGTCGCTTGTAAACAAAGTTAGACGCCATTGTATATTCAGCTGCACACACCGCGGTATGTTCGGCGTTTCAGGAGGGTACACATGCCGTCCTTCATATCATTCCGGGGGGGGGGGGGGGGTTCAATTTGAAAGTCTGGTTTCTTTGATTGTTAATTAACCCCTATCCTGTGTATTTACAGGCAAAAGATTTAAGTTATCATAATCGGGTCATATCCCCTTTTGATTGGTTTGACATGCCATTACATTACATTTATATACACTAAACTCATTATAATTTGACAAATAATAGCTGTGCAATTATGTTCATTCTTTATGGGATGTCGTCTACTTGGGCAGTATTGGTCCATATAGTGACGTCATTAAAACATCGTTATTTTTCCGGCGAATCTCTCGTATATCCCGGCTGCGATGAAGGTGGTTGTATTTGTATTTTTTATAAATCACCCGATATGTAGTTGACCTAAAATTTGTACGATGGCCATTTGTTAGCTTACCAGTTTCTTGTGATACATTAGTTGAAATGTTTGTGATTTTCTTTGAATTTCACCTTTAACTCAATTTTAGATTCTCTCTTGGTTTATATCTCGTTCAAAGCCTCTTTCGTTTCTTCAAATGAGTACACAGGTACCTGTTATTCGGAAGGATTAGGGCTGAATTACACCTTACCAATGTTTAACGAGTGTAAGAAGGAACTACATTATAATGGCAGCATGGTACAGACCATTCCAAAGCTCATCTCATACACATCTAATGAGGAAGCTGCTTGTCCAAGAAGGAAGAGTAAACTGGGGATCCCACCCGGACACAGAGTGTGCAGATTACCTGGTAAGTCGTTCTTTGCCTGCTATAAACATTATAAAACATATAATCTGTTCTACTGTTCTTTTGAAAATGTAATAATGTAAGTCCTAGCCAAAAGTGTCATAAGATTCGATATTTATGTTAGAGACCATTTTAAGACATTGACAACAAACGTTGACAGTCTATCCATAACAGTCGGATGTTATAGTCTGAGGAGTAGCCGAACCCCCCCCCCCTAAACAAAAAAAAGATGGCTTGACTTCATCCACTAAACACGAAAAACTGTCAAAAGCTTAAAACTTCGATTTAAAAAAAGAAAAGTTCCTGAGGAGGGGTGTTGTATTTATTTTGTAGTTATATTTTACAGGGTAACATTGTTAGTTACAAAACTGCTTTACATAATGACCCTTTTGGCCTTGATTAAGTATGTATATAAGATGATTAAATATTGAATTTATAGAAATATCAATTAATTTCTATTCAAGTGTTGTTTCCTAAAAAAGTTTGAAGTCGATGATAGTTGAAAAGGCATTTTCTTAATTCAATTCAATTCAATCAAGGTTTATTAAAGACATGAATGGCATTCATAGACTGAATTGTACATGCTTTCACAGTGCAGGTAAAATATAATACAAGTATAAGATAACAACATGAGATCAGAAAAATGGAATTAAATATAATATGTACAAGCATAATTTAAAATTTGATTGGTGAAATTATAGTAAAATATATACGGAATTTAAAATGACTGATTGAGATTGCTTCACTGTCAAATATAACATAATGTCGCACAGCTGTTAAGGCAATTACAAGCTCGGATTTTCATAGTGAACATTTAACATACACGTTAGATTGGGAAGAGCACTGTTCTGGAATCTCTTAGAATTTCAAGAAAATCCCTGATTGTTATTGACGAATCGTAAATTGTATTTGTTGGTTTTCGGTGGCGGTAACCATGATTTGCACAGTAAATTCGTTTCTAGTGCAGAAGCCAGATCTTCGGTGAGTTTTACTCTTCGAGTCACAAGGGTTGGCAATTTCAGTCTTTCTATAGAGCATTGTCATATGAAGTATAATTTAATCCTTATATATCTTATAGGCTCTTTTTTGTATACTTTCTATAACATCAATCTGTTAACAAGTCAAACAGAAACCAGCCAATGCTAATTTTGAAGGACATATCGGAACAACTGACAACCAATACCAAAATAATTAATTATTTTGTGGGGTATGGGTGAATATGGACGTGTGTGCATGTGATTTTTTTGTCGTATTCGGTTCAGGTTTATACTTTCATATCATGAATGATCTGCCTGCCTATTCACGAGTAATATAATACATTCCGTCCTCCACCATGATATCAAGAACGAGCAACACTCAAGTATATTAATTTCAATTGTTCATATCAAGTACGGTTACCGTGTGGTTTTCTTAACAACACAACATGACGAACAATATGATGATACACCCGAGAGATTCGAAATTTAATCTAATTAGTGGATAATTAATCAGTCAAGTATAGTCTGTTTACCATCAATAGTAGCATAAATTTTGGCACTGGTGACAACGACTGGTCTCTGCTTCCCTCATTTCTGGACAAGAGGTTTTGGAACAAGATCTGTCAATATAGATCAATTATATTAGCAGTGATATTGTAAGAAACTAATACTATTTGTATTCTATTTTATTTGTTGATATCATAAAATAACAGCTATTTACAACAATGCTGATGTACAGTATTCATGCATTCGTAACATATCATAATATAGTACAAAACATGAAACTAATGTAACATAATCACTAACTAATTAAAGTATTGATTTTTTTTGTTACTTCGTTTGTATCGAATTTCTTTTGATTACATTTCATATCGAGATAGGTGCGAATTTCTACCTTAAATTTTTTTACCAAATATACAGCATGTATCCTATACTTTTCACTTCCAAAACATTCTCTAATATAGTTTCTATTGATAATAAACTGAGCAAAGCTTAATATAAAATCGACAAGATTCATTTCTCTTCTCTCTATTTCATGACCTATTAAAAGATTTTTATCGTTCAAAATGATTCTTAAATTAAACAAAGTATCGATTATTTGGATACAATCTTCCATGACATAGATTATTGTTTTTAATCCTCCATTTATACAAATTGTCTTTACTGGGTAATATTCAATGAATACATTTAAAATTTATATGCTTAATTCTGTTATCATTTATTAAGTAAAATTTATAATGAAGCACCGTCTTCCAGTGAAACTCATTAGGTAATTCAAAATATGCGTTTAAAAAAAACTACTTCAAAGGAATCACCTCTTACCATTCATATCGCACTGGATTACATTGCAGACGATGAACTTTGTACATATTGTATCCTTTTACGTAACTTCTGCAACCCAAAAGTCGGTAAATGCACTTTTTAACTTTGCCAATTTTAAGGCCCGGTCACACAGAGAGGACGCATGGGGGACGCACGGCCAGCGCATTGGAAATTTCCAAATTTGGACCAATGCTATGCATTCGTGGTCATTCGCTGTGTGCGTCGGGATTTTTTGAGCATGGTCAAAAGTGTGCGCGGAGCTCGACGCATGAATGTACACGTACACGCCAAAGTGACGCCAGACCTGCTCGGAGCGCGCTAGACCAATTCCAGACATACATGGAGCACACGCCCTGTATACGCGCAGCGCGCTAGCAACACGTTATGCATTTGGTGTCAGCTCGCTAGCTTCTCCCCTTGAGCCCCCCATGCGTCCCCTCTGTGTGACCGGGCCTTTAAGGCCCGGTCACACATAGACGACGGACGGCCCGCGCATTGAAAATCAGAAAAGGTCGTGCGCCCGACTTTTGTCAGGATTTGGGAGAAGCTAGCGAGCTGACACCGAATGTGTAGCGTGTTGCTAGCGCGCTGCGCGTAAACAGGGCGTGTGTTCCACGTTTGTCTGGCGTTGGTCTAGCGCGCTTTGCGCGGGTCTGGCTTCCTATTGGCGTTTACATCCATGCGTCGAGCTCCATGCACACTTTTGAGCGTGCACAAAAAATCCTGACACACACAGAGAATGACGTCGAATGCATAGCGTTGGTCCAGCGCACTCGACGAACGAGTAACGCAGTATGACGCACACATAACGCACGTCAACGCACTGGCAAAAATTGCAAATTTTCAATGCGCGGGCCGTGCGTCCCCCATGCGTCCCTAAGGCGGAAAGTAATTCATTTTCTTGAAAATTAACAAAAATGGAATCAACTTTTTCATATTATGTTTACTGTAAGACTTGTTTCACTTTGAGGATATTGTTTCTTATTCAGTTTGGAAAATGCCATAACTCATTCCTATATTTAATGTTGCTCTTAGTATTATATCAAAACGTTTCATTTTTAAATATCTGTTACTTTAAACATATCAATATATTTCAATTCAGCCCAGGGACAAAACATGTCAACATTAAAGTCAGGCAACTGTTTGTTTCTACAAATACGATACATATTGCTATTTTTGCAATGAAAATGCAAACAAAGAGGCAAATCTCAAATTTTGTGGATCCAGTATTTAAACAAAATTTTCCAAGCACTTTGCTCACTTCTTAAATACTTATAAGTCCATGATAGACGGAGTGACCGGCATTTCGACTCGAAGTCCATCATTCCCAGCCCCCTTTTATTTCATGATTGTGACAGAAGTTTTGTTTAAGAAACTACTACTCATACTACTACTACTACTACTACTACTACTACTCCTACTACTACTAATAATAATACTACTAATAATAATACTAATAATAATAATAATAACGAACGTTCACAAGGCGTCGTTCCCATCATAATTGACAGCGCTGTCGCATCCAGTGGTCAGACAATGTAGACAAAGGGTATTTGAATGGTGTAGCTTTCATAGATCTTCGACGTGCATTCGATAAAGTCAACCAGTCTCTCCTCCTAAATAGATTACATCAATATGGTTGCTCCCCGAATGTAATTAAATGGTTTGAATCATACCTGAAAAATCCCCAACAATTTGTCTAATTAGGGAAAGAAAAATCAACATTTAGAAATATAACAATGGGAGTTCCACAAGGGTCCATCTTGGCCCCGCTCCTTTTTACTCTATTTATTAATGACTTCCGATGTTCCATCTCAAATGGCATTGTTTATATGTATGCAGATGTTACAACTATTTCTGTATGTGGTAAAACTAAGCAAGAGGTAGAACTCAAACTTACAAAAGCTCTTGGTGAACTGAATTCTTGGCTGAATAAAAATAAATTGATTTTGAATAGTGATCAGACCAAATCGATGCTGCTAGGATCAAAGCATAAGCCTAGATCATTAGATAACAGTATGATGTCGATTGAATTAAATGGATGCCAGTTGGAATGTGTATATGCATATAAATGTTTGGGAGTTATAATTGATAACAGTTTTGACTTTAAAAAACATATCGAAAGTATTGCTTTAACTGTGAAACAGAAATTAGGAACATTTCGTCGATGTTAACATTATTTTGATAAAGCACAATTGAACAGACTCTACTGGGCTTTTGTAGTGCCCCATTTAATGTACTGCTGTACTGTTTGGTCGGGGAGATTTGAAGCAACTCATAGTAAACTGGAGAGATTACATAAGAGGGCAGCATATATGATTTCTCGTTGTTCCTGGGAACCCCCATCTGAACAAATTTTTGAAATTCTATCCTGGCAGAAAATAGATCTGTTTTTTTTTTTTAGAGCATCTTGTTGTATGATTCACTAATGTTTACATAAAGCTGCACCTGAAGTACTCGGTGATAAATTTATTTATATCGAAGCGATATCATCTCGAACAACGAGGAGCACACATAAGATGTTAATAAGAATGACACATGCTCGTACGACCTTTTATCAGAAGTCATTTCTTGTCACAGGTCCATCAAACTGGAATAAATTACCCGAATGTGTTCGATTTATAGAAAATATGAAACCATTTAAACGAGAAATGGCAAAATGGCAAAAGACGTCCTCGTTGTAATATGATCATGTTGTAATATGACTCTTTTTTCTTTCATCTTTGTATAGGCCTATATTTTATTATATATTCATCTTGATTTCTCTTGTTGGTTTGTTATTGTTGTTGTTGCTGTTGATTTTTTTTTTTACTGTTTGCTTCAATTTGGATATATGGCATTTACATATTTGTATCATATACATATTACTCATTTCGTTATTACTCATTTCGTTAAAACCAGTATTTATTTGCTGATTGGGCTACCCTTCTTTTTAAAGATGTGTAATAAATAAATAAATAAAAAAGGGAATGTGGTATACTTGTGGATAATCTATAAAGACACAAATCAATACAAAAACGTACGTCAGTAGTAGTAGTAGTAGTAGCAGTAATAGCAGCAGCAGTAATATCACTGTTATCACATCGTTATTAATAGTAGAAGTAGTAGTAGTAGTAGTAGTAGTAGTAATAGCAGTGGTATTACTATTATTACAATGATAACTATTATTTATATTATTGTTATTATTATTATTATTAGTATTGAATTTGTCATTGTATGTAGATTTAAGTTTAAGTCTGGCCTGTAACTACATGGCTTCCTCTTTTTCATCATGCAGCAGTAGCCTACCTGAAAGAATACAGTGATACATCATATACATCAAAGGTATGAGGGAGTCGCAGAAGTTTACCAGTATTCCTAAACAATCACATTCCTATGGTTGAGCAATAATTGCAGTGTCTTGTCCCCTCTTTTGACTACAGATTGTGGCGAAAATCCTTGTCGAAACGGCTGGTGTGAGGAGACTATGACAAACTTCAAATGCCACTGCTCTGCCGGATATCGAGGAAAACGTTGCGATGAACGTGAGAATACAAAACAATCCTAATAATTATTTGACAAGTCGGTTAGGGGAATTAAAATATACAACTTAATTTTTTCTAGTAACCTGAATTCGAGCAAAATTATAAACTTTGTAAAAAGCAACCGAACGGTGTGCAGTATAACCAACCGATTGTACGAAGATGATACATTAGTGAAACCTATTTCAGACAGGTATGGAAATATATTTCATTTGAAATTTAAAAAAATCATGAATATTCATCAATTATGCAAATTAGGTCATATAAGCTAAATATATATTCGCGCACTCATTATGCAAATTAGGAAAGTCAAACTGTTCATTTTTGGGGCATTTTTTAAATCATATATTCATAGATCATATTTACACCAAATATTAACCTTAAAATCCAAATATTTTTGCAATGCCGATAAAATATGGCGATCGAAATTACTTGGATCACCGTCACAGCTATTTTCTCATGTGTTTCACAAATTATTCAGAAAAACCGATCATATGATAAGAATTGTACAGTTGTGGCTACCTTGAGTGTAAATATCAAATTGATTTAATGAGTGAAAGACTTGAGGATATTGCATTTTTGTAGGGGTGTTTTATACATTGAGGTGCATTTTTACCACATGACATACTATAATGAGCATCCACTAACACAGACTTGGTATAATGCAACACCTGTACATTCATTGGCTGATATCATTTATGCCACTGATGTCATGCTTCTTACTGCGCATGTATGGATTATGTTTTTGCTAAGGCTCAATATATTAATTAATATTAATATTCTTAATTCTGGAATGATATTTCGGTAGGGAATATCATTACCTAGTAATTGGTTTGTGGTAATGTAGCTTCTCGTCTCCCTAGTTCAAGAGAGAGAGAGAGAGTGAAATCCATCAAGCGTACCCCGACAGTTAATGATGTATCACTTATTCATTATCGATTTCAAAATATTTAGCCAGGGTGGCCCATTCAGCAATTAGCTGGTCTTCCGAGGAAGCCCTGGTGAAAATGGTGACAAAATCATACATGTAAAAATAAGAAAAAAGTACTCATAGAAGTGTACAATTGAATCTGATATATAATATAAATAAACATAGATTTAAAACAATAATACAAATGACAACAGATTTGTGTGTTTCGACTCTTTCCGGACAGATTTAGATTTGATTTCGCTTTGTGTTTTGTTACATGGAATTCATCGGAAGTATCGTGATAATGTTGAACAGATTCTGAGGAAAACTGTACGAAATTTCCGGCTATGTCTTCCTTGACTAATTCCTAGTGTTTTCCCCTCATAATCACAACATTAGCTTTATGCCTTAACTCGTGTGGCATCGACTCTTAGTTTCGAAACGGCAGTTGAGTTATTTGTGATTCATCTCTCTGCAGTTAAAGCAGCCTTTTTATCATATGTCAAGCTTTTATACCATGCAGTGTTTCCTTTCGTCATAATAAAAGTTTCTTAGATAGAACATCAGATTTCATTGGTTTGATGAAATTTCCTTACATTTCTCAAAATTCATCTAACGTTCCATTTATGTTGTTTGCAAGGCCGAGGCTGACGTCATATGTCTTTTGTTGCACCATAATATCAACTAAATTTCCAGTTTTGCGAGAAAAAAAATGAAAACACTGATAACATGGTTCGCTAAACACTCGATTGTCAAAGCGGTCGGGGTGGGCACGGGGGAATGTATCAAGTGTTCCTCGCGTTGATTGGTTACTTGAGATGGGCGTGTCTCACTACGCAGACCTTCCTGATCAGAGTGTCTGTTTGCTGCGAAATTCGAGGCATATTGGATATTAACCCCGTGAAAGTTGGCGTTAATTTCCGAGTGTTTCAGTAGACGTGTTCATCATTTCCCATTTCGCTGTCTAAACATAATTAGGCAAATTTGTATTGCGAACATAAATATCATTTCGAAAAATAGATATACAGACTATCTGTAATACTGGAACTTTTATTCACGATTTTACTTCCTTTTGAGGAGTTCGGGAATACGGACTACATTGCAAGAAAAACTTTACAGAAACTATAACGCTGCTGGGTGAACAAGACAGTGTCGTATTTGAGTTATAACGACAGCACAGCAAGGAAGATGAGCAAAGTCTTTTACAACCTTAACTGTAGTATTCTCGGATGCTTGCTTCACGTTTCCAATATATGTTGTCTTCTGAGAGGTTACTTTATTTGAGATGTAAAGACAACATCGCAAGAACAATATACAATCAATCTACTGTTGCTCGACTGGATTTTATCGAATAATTGAGATTTGTTTTCCATCGGTCAAAATGGTGAGTACTCACCTTTATTTATTTAATAACAAACATGTGCATATATATATATATATATGTGTGTGTGTGTGTGTGTGTGTGTGCGTTCGTGCGTGTGTGTATGTGTGTGTGTGTGTGTGTGTGTGCGTATGTGTGTGTGTAGGCCTATGTATATAGCGGCATCTTTTGTCCCTCCAATTTGGGTTATTCTGAGGAGGCTAGGAACAGTTTGTGGTGGAAGTGTGGTCGCATGCTGGGGAAGGGGGGGGGGGTAGTAGTGTTTTTGGTTGGATGGGGTCCTTGTTTTATGTTACAAATGATTTCATTTTGTTTTCATCAATTGTACAATCTAGGTAATGAAAAAAAATTGAATTCATGGAAAAACAACTGTATTTTATTTCGAAAATTAATTCGATTGTTTGGAATCAATAAAAAAAAAACTTTTGAAAAAAGAAGAAAAAATCTTCTGGAGGTCGCAAACACAGCACTACGTTGTCCCTACTTATTGTGACAATCCACGATTCCACATGACGAATAGAAAATACCATGCTTATTCCTGAAACTAAGGATTACATGGCACTCCCCTCCCCCTCTCCAAATGTGTTCAAGCTCCTAAAAAATGCCCCTTTTTGCTGAGGAAAAGCGCACTTTTTACCTCTTAATTTTTCTCACTTTTAATAAGTTACCCCTTTCCATTTTCACTTTTACAAGTGTCCCTTCTTATATTGCCCTTTCCCCTGATTAAAATTGCCCCTTTCAATGCTGTGATAAGTGCCCCTTTTTTAAAGTATAATAAGTTCCCTTTGTAACTTTTTGTTATAATAATAATAATAATAATAATAATAATAATAATAATAATAATAATAATAATAATAATAATAATAATAATAATAATAATAATAATAATAATAATAATAATAATAATAATAGTGGCTATTTGTATAATTGTCCGTTGACCAATATTATTCTACCAACATTTCCCGTTGTCGCTTTATGTTGTGTCATTTTGACAGTCAAAGTCAGGAAAGAGGGTTTGCCTACCACTACCGCACAAAATAAGCACACTTTATTTATTTGAAAGATTTTTTTTTATAATACAATGGTGTTTTTTTTTCTTCATTTGTAGCGGTCACCGCCTAATCGGAGGGGGCGTCCAAAAAGGTGGCCCTTTTGATGAGAAATAGTATTTTATTAATAATGTTTCAAGAAAATCTTGAAACACAATTACTTTGGTGTCATATGAAATCAAATTTAGATATATACATTTTGATACCAATTTTGACGGAATTGGGATTAATTAACGATGCAATTTTTTCTTCTTAAAATTTTATTTAAAAAAGGTTTTTGTTTCCATACATCAAAATTGGAGAGGTGTCTTTCCAGGTTTTTGCCCATGTACAAGGTCAATAGTTTTGTGCAAATGGAGGCTTTTTGTATTTCTTTTCAGTGAAAAAGTTATGAAACCCAAAGTTATTTACTTGACTTCCAGACAAACGACATTTTTGCCCATTGGTGTACCTCAATCGATTTTTTTTTTAAATATACCTTTAAGTAAAATCTCGACTCGCCGCGGGTTTGCTGTCAAATTATGGATAATTGAATAGTCTAAAGTTGATATAAATTTCACTGAGTTATATAATGTTTTAAAGTTGATATAAATTTCACTGAGTTATACATCAAAGGAATTTTATGTCAAAGACATGATGTAGAAAAATAAAGAGAACTGTCTTCATATGTGCTTACTATGTAGCGCCTAACACTTACTCTATCAGAAGTCTCTAAGCGCTCTACAATAATGCAGCATAATTACCCTGACTTTAGCAGGGCAGCTGTCACACGATCTGCGTTTCAAGGAATAAATTTCCTAACCAGGTCCCCATTGACTTCAAATGGGTGGAGTGGAGCACAACGTGGATGTTTTTTTTTGCTGAAGGAAATTAACGCTCTTATGTGGGATTCGAACTCATGACCTTATAATTGAAAGACGAGAGTCAGAACCACTACACCATGACGCTTCTATATGATGTGGTCCTATTTTGATCTGGTTGGTTGATCTTTCGACAGCTCTGTAATAGTTTTAGTTGCTTTAGGAACTAGTGGATAGCCAATATTTGTTTATTATTTGATTTTACCTCATAGAAATGGCGTTCAAAGATAAAGAACATTAATTTCGATAGTCAACTTGTGCTAGTGTGATCGGAAGTCGTCCGAATTTAGAAAGAAAGGCGAGATATGGCTTTTTCATAATGTCGCCACATTCTGCTAAAGGCGAATCGTAGGTAAACAAAACGTCCATGGCCCCCTCTGAGCGAAAGATGAAATAATGAAAATTATGGGGGAAACTTTTAGGGGTAAAACATTAGTCTGCGAACCCCTCAATTTCAGAACCACAAGATTACTAGATTGATTCCCGGGCGGAAAAATTCAGAAATAAAAATGGGAAATTCACACCCCACGTCAACCCCTTCGGAAGTAACAAAGCTTTCGGAGTTATAAATCTTCTTTCATTTTAAGAGTTATGAAAGCAATGGTATAAGAAGTGTTCTTAATTGTTTTCCCTCCAAAGAAAATGAAAACCCATGAAAACACAAGTGCTTCAGAGGGCCCCTGGACCCCACGCCGTATAACACTCCGCTCCTTTCGCTCGTGACATGTTCTACTTGGAAACTCAGATTTCAGTGCTACCCCCCCCCCCATATAAATCAGATTGACGCCCCTGGTCTTGATTGA